CTTTTTTTCATCCATCCATCCATCATTTATTTATCTATCTATCTATCTATCTATCTATCTATCTATCTATCTATCTATCTATCTATCTATCTATCTATCTATCTATCTATCTATCTATCCATACATCATTTTATCATCTATCTATCCATCCATCAATCCATCCATCCATAATTTGATCATCTACTGTAGCTATCTATCTATCCATCCATCCATCCATAATTTGATCATCTATCTATCTATCTATCCATCCATCATCTATCTATTCATCCATCCATCCATAATTTTACTATCTATCTATCTATCTATCTATCTATCTATCTATCTATCTATCTATCTATATTATGTATATTACAATATGTATATTGTTACAATAGCCCTGTAATAATGACCAACTATCTGTACATTAACATCTATATAACATCTAAATATCTTATTAAAAAAACACTAGAAGTTCTGATAATTCTTCTCAAATGTTGGTAAGAAATGTCAGTGTGTCATTATCAGTGCAGGCACATGACTGTCACAGGCGGTTCTGTTAAAGGCCTTTAGTTTTAACACAAATGCTCTTGATAACGACAACAACAACTGTCTGCTTTCCCAAAATACATCCTGACATTTGCCGCGAAATCTTGACAAACAGCTGACAACTGAATCAATAACAGTGAACGCCGCGACAGAAGGTTTCTGCTCTCTACTGACAGAACCAACAAACATGTTCTGCTGCGTTAACTACAGCGTGATTCAATTTGCTCTGTTCAAACGAGCTCAACTCTGGGCAGGAATAAACTGTTTTGGCAGCGCAGTGATGTCTGGTTTCGGCAGGACCAGCGGTCTGGGTCGTTTCCAGGTGTTTGGTGTTAGCAGGTGTGCTGGAGTGATTAGCGTCCTGCCCCGCGGCCGTGACAGCTGTCCGTCACTCAGAGCGATATGTCAGACCGCCCCGGAGAGCGCCGGACACTCATGTGCTGCTTAAACCAGCTCACCAGTGCTATCTGTACTTAAACTGTGCAAACACACACTGTCCTAAAAGCTCATCCTAACCAAAGTCCAGCAATCCATGACAGCTGCAGAGTGTGCATGATGAGAATAACATACTATGTACTATTGTTGACAGAAGGTAGTACGCAGTGTGTACAGTACTGTTGGAAAGATCAGGGTAAACAAGTATTTATTTTCTTTTTTAAGGAAGTTAATACTTTTATTCAGCAAGGATGCATTAAATTGATAAAATGACAGTAAAGTCATTTTAAATAAATTATATTCTTTTAAACTTTATTTTCATCAATGATTTCTGAAGCATCATGTGACACTGAAGACTGGAGTAATGATGCTGAAAATACAGCTTTGATCTCAGGAATAAATAATATTTTACTATATATTCACATAGAAATGTGTTATTTGAAATTGTAATAATATTTCACAATATTGCTGATTTTTTTGTATTTTTGATCAAATGAATGCACCCTTGGTGAGCAGAAGAAACTTCTTTCAAAAATATATATATATATATATATATAAAAAATCTCACCAACCTCAAACGTTTGAATGGTAGTCTAACATTGTGCAAAGTATGCAAATGTGCAGTATAGAATTAGGACACACTGTGGCTGAATGCTGACCAGCATTTCTTTATATAGCAAAAATAATAAAAATAGCTTGCTAATATGCAAATATGTTATCCTGAATTCAGTCTGTGTAATGCAATGCTCTCACATTAACAAGGAATCATGATATCAGTCATGAACTGTGATATATATATATTTTTTCTAAACAAAAAATAATGGCCGCTCATATAATTGGATGTAGCTGGCTGAAATAAACATACATAATGAGATTGTTTATGTATGTAATGTATACTGCTTCATATACTGTTTCTAATGAATCGTTTGAGTATGCAGCATGCTAGTGTTGCATTGAGAACACAGCCGGTGTGTTTGTGTACTGACCTGTTTCAGGTCCTCGTGTGTAGGCGTATCAGAGAAGCAGTAATGATGGAAAAGACCCATTTTCTGACTCAGGAGGCAGTTGACCACATGAGCGCGGGCATTCTGCCACTGCACCAGTCTGACCAGACCCTGATTCAGAGAGACGCCCAGATCCGCCGACCAGTTATACGTGTACAGAGTCACCTGGAAACACGGAAACATGGCAATATAATATAAAACAGAAAAAACTAAGCACACAAATCCACCTTGCACATCAAAGTCTATCCACACTTGAAGACAAAAACAGTGCATGACGCGGCACAAACACAGCTGATTAGAACACACTCAATGTTTAATATGCAGCTGTGTGGTATTTCAGACAAATTATATTTCACCGTGGGCAGCAAAATGTCCCATTGCCTGTCGCAGCTGGTTAAGAGAAAAACATTCATGCAAGAGAGTTTTTATAGCGTGTTGCTTACGCAAGTCACGGCTGGTTATATTCAACTCAACTGACCTTCTTATTGACAATCTGCATGTACAGGAAGCGCTGGCGTGGAGCCACGCCCCTCACAGCCTGTCCCGGGCTCAGCCAATCACTGTGCTCCAAAGCCTCGAACCGCTGCATGCCCTTATGAGCTTTAAGAAAGACAGAATTCTTTGTTATTTGGGTAAAGATGATAGACAGAGTAAGAAATAAAGATCCACACAAGGAAAAGGCCACTTCAGAATTTATTCAGTTTACCTGTGAATAACATCTATAGGATTTAAATCATAAAATGTAATTAATATTAAATCATATACAAGGCTCATTGCGTTTAAAAAAAAATGAATGAAAGGTTTCACAGCCTTGAGGCAGGACATTTATATCATCTATACAGAGTGTGTTTGAGGAGAGATTGAACACAGAACTCACTCTCTAGAGTAACAGAGGGCAAACTCAGGGCTTTATGACATTCTCTCCTTTATTAAACTCTAATATCATTTAAATACCAACATCGGACCAAATACTCATCTAGGTGTGTAGAATGTAATGTAGAACTTATATAAAAAAATGAAACTCAGTAGGTTTCAACAGTAGAGTACATGCAGGGCTAAAATGATCTCATAAACATGCATCAATGAGTGAATCTTCAATTAGGGACACTTTTAACTACTGAAAAGCTTGAATTAAAGCTTGAAAGCTTTAAATACGTGTTATCTATTTAAAACTATTTATTACGTCCTGGAATAAAGATGTTCAACAGTAAAGTGGATATTGGTGTTAACTGTGATGATAATGGCAGCACTATGTGGATGGATGGATGGATGGATGGATGGATGGATGGATGGATGGATGGATGGATGGATGGATGAACTTAAAAAATTTGTTTCATGAAGCCCGAATGCCACAGAGAAATGTTTTGGTCATATTTTGCCACAAAATCAAACAATTTTTGATGAATAAAAATATATTTGCATATTTGTAAAAATACTGAAAATCAGTGGGGTAAATATACACACACACATACATACATATATACATATATATATATATATATATATATATATATATATATATATATATATATATATACACACATACTGTACATTTATATTATACATTACTATTTATTTTCTGTTTTTATTCTTAAATTATTTATTTATTTACTTATAGCCTTATTGATGTATTTCTCTGTCCCATATGATACTATTGTTTTCTTTTTTACAGAGAATATTTCTTAATTACTTTTCCTTTTGAAATTGAGGAGAAATATGACCTGATTATATGATCATTTTCATGAGATTCAGCTGAATATATAATGAATTAAAAAGGTTATTTTTATGCATTATAATTCATTCACAATGCCTTATATTTCGACTTGTAATCATGTATATGTTCTCAAGAATATGCATATCCCCAGTTAAACTACGTAATTTACATCCCTTATCAGAGAGTATAATGCATTATTGCACATGATCAATCGTGTATTTTTGGTTATATTGGCATTTATTTATTAACGGGGTTGTACTACTTGATGTATTCAAACTTTGGTTATAATAAGCCTGCTTATGAAAATATAAAACAAATTACAATGTGCTCCTTGGAAAGCGTTGATTCTTCTGATTCAAGTCGAATCCATTAAATCATTCCGTAAGTGTGTGTAATCAAAGACGGCATGATAATTGCTATATATAGTGAATATAGGAGGTACCTTGTTCTGTACTGCAGTGCCATTGGCTGAAGTTGCGACCAATGAGAATGAAGCTCCTGGTGGTGCCAGGTGGTTGGCTGATGTGCTGGATGATCGACAGGGGGACATAGATGTCTCCTTGAGGACAGCTGGAGACACACAGAGGAAACTGAATCGACAGAAACATCTGATGGTGCATTGAAGAGCTAAGCATCTTCTGCACAAACAGAAGCAACTGATCACGTCTGTTCACACACAAGCTGCAGCGACAGACGTGTCTGGACCGCTCTGATGATACCGGAAACACACCTGCTTCTTTCGAACACTTTGACCGCCGTGTCACTGGCCAGCGAGCCCACCAGATTGACGATCTCTGTGAGGATGGAGGGCAGGAGGAAATGATGCGAGACTTCAGCTGAACAGTGCTGGATGGACGGACAACCTGCAAGAGAAAATAATTCACTGAATATTTCATTAGGGGACTTTCCTGTCTGTTAGGATGGTGATAAACACATCCAATCTTTTTATAAACACTTATTATAATCCCTTTAAACCTTACGATTGAGTCTCTTTAATTAGTTCTTCCTAAGAAGGTCCCCTCTATAGTGCATTTCGAGAAAATGTTAAAATCAAGGAATTTCTACTTTGTACTTTTTCATAAGAAAATAAATTACAAATTGTAACATAAATACCAAATGAACTGGTATTTATACATTCATGACCAATTTTTTGTAGAGAAAAACCACTGTTCTCAATACAGCTGCTAGTTTTTCCAAAAGAGTTTTTAACTGGTTGTTAAAAAGACATTAAAATTAAACAAAATTTTGATGCAGCTACAATTCATATTTTTTTTAAAGTATAATAATATTTATATATTTATATAATGTATATAAAAGTCAAAGTGTATAATTATATAAACACCAATTTATAAAAAACTTCATACCTTATCATTCATGTGTACAATTTGTACATATAAGTTATATACAGTATATAAATTATTATAAAACCATCCAACAATTTCTTTAAAAAAAATAAAATAAAATCATCTTCTTGCACAATATTCACATCATCATACATTATACCAAAATCCACCTGAGGGCTGATCAGACCTTTATTCCAGGACGTTACACATGCTTTAGTGCAGATTTGACAAAGTTTAACTAAAAGAATCACCAAATAACCTTTATTACTTCATAGTAAATACCACCAGAGCCATAACTTGGCATGTGTTTGTGGCGACTCACCCAGTCTGTTCATGAAGGTGACCCAGGGCAGGTACGTGGTCTGGAAGACGGGCTGAAGAGTGCCTGTGTCACCCTCCTCCAGCTGGACTGCATGTCTCCTACAACACACACATCCAGACACAGTCCTCACCAGTGAAAACAAGACTACAGGCCTGTCCGGATGCCAACTGGGAGGTTGAGGTCATTTCAGCATTTACGTCTGTAACGTTATTGCCATCCGAATCAGAAATGCCACAACAGAATTATCTACTGTATCCTGACAAACACAAAGGCTGGGTGGTCATTTAATTAATCTCCTAGACTGCCAGAAAGAGCGGTCCCGAAATCATTTGGAAATCGGATTATTCTGATACCATCTGATTTGCACAATGATGAGAAGTTGGGTATTTGGCACAATGGAAGTGTGTTTCAGTTTGAAAGCACAGAAGACAGACGAAATAAAACTGTTTTGAATGTGTATGTTTAAGACTACATTTTCTTGGTCTAGAGCATTTTATAATAAATAAATGTATTTGAGTTTTTATTAATGGGTATACACTATTACTCTATGTTATTTTGTTACGTGCGACCAGTAACAAAGTAATTTTAGTATTATTTATATAAGTTCATTTTACTTTCAGTAATTCTATGTGCTTTGGCATTTTTTTTTTAATATAATTCTACTTGGCTTTAATAGATTTTTCAGTTTTAGTAAAACTGAAACTTATTTTAATTTATTTTAAGTTAGTTGCCAAGGCAACATTTCTCATTTTTGTTTTAAGTTTTAGGTTTTCATCTTATATATTTATTCTTTATTTTATTTCAGCTTTATTGCAGTTAATGAACATACTGTTAATAGTTTTAGTTGTCTTACGTCGTCTGTTTTTTTTTGTCCTACCATCTGAACATGTTCATTTTATCAGGGAAAGCTTGTGCAAATATCATTTTACAGACAGAAGTGTGAGAAACACAGCTGTGTGTGTGTACCTCTGGGCCTGCTCTTGCTCGACTGCCATGGCTTTCTCGTGGTTCCACTGCTGTTTGACGCTCTCCGTCTTGTGTCTCCGTCGAATCACGCGACTGTCCTCGACACGCTCCGGTACGATGTCATCCGTCGTCTTCGGACTGCCAAGCTCAGAAGTTTCTGGTTTACTCTACCACACACACACACACACACACACACACACACACACACGGATAACTGTCAGCAGACCAGTGAACAGAAAGCCCAATCATTTGAGTCCAGATCAACCGCATCATGCTGACCATCAAAGCAGTTTTGGAGGCGTTGACAGTCATAATTAATGAGAGTAATCTGCTGTTAATGGAGACTGCACATGCTGAGTGAGCGCACGCACCAGTATTTCCCAGAAGAAGCGGCGCGTGGTTTTGCCGGTGGGTGTGGTGGACTCGGGCGTGCTGGTTCCAGTGGTCGGGGTGGAGCAGGGCACAGAACTCAGGCTGATGGGAGACGGGCTGCTCTTGAGCCCATGGGGCCCACTGGGCCGCCGAACGCTCTCTTTCACCTCCTTACTGTCAGACTGCAGGAGACTCAAGGCAACTACAGACACACAACACACAAGATCAACGAAAGACAACACTATACACGACCGTTCAGAAGTATAGAATATGTTAGATTTTTAAATGTTTTTGCTCACCAAGGCTGCATTTATTTGATCAAAAATACAGTAAAATATTGTGAAATATTATTTCTATTTAAAATAGCTGTTTTCTATGTGAATATATTGTAAAAAGTAATTTATTTCTGTGATCAAAGCTGTATTTTTAGCATAATTCCTCCAGTCTTCAGTGTCACATGATCTTCAGAAATCAGTATAATATGCTGATTTGCTGCTCGAGAAACATTTCTGATTATCATCAATGCTGAAAACAGTCGTACTGACCCTTTAATTACAATTAAAAAAGAAAATATCAATATTTTTAAATAAAAATTAAGGGATTTTTTAAATATTAATAATAATAATAATAATAAAACATAGAATGTCTACAAAACTTATTTTATATATTGAAGTAGACGCCTTAAAAATATTACTTAAAGATGCGATAACATTTTTATCATGAGAAACATAATTTGAGACAGGTATGATTATTTAATATTAGTGTATTTTGTCTTGTTCTAGCATTATTTTAGTATCATTTAGATTCTAATATAGTTTCTATTAATATTTTGAATATTTTTTTGTGTATATTTTCCATTTTCATTTTAGTTCAAGTTTTAATAATAGTATGTTTTCGTCATTTTAGACATTTTATACATACATATATATATATATATATATACACACACACAAAAACTGAAATAAAAATTAAATGAATAAAAACTTTTGTTTTTGTTCATTTTGATTCCAGTTTTAGTTATTTTAGTACAGTTTTTTTAGATCTTATTTTATTTCAGTTAAAGTTTATTTTATTTCCAGAAACGAAGTCAAGTTTTTTTAATGGTTTTAATTTTAGATTCTGTTCTAGTTTTACTGTAATCCACTATATTACATCACCTGTGCTCTCGTCCCGCTGGGTGGCTGCAGGCAGGCAGAAGGTGTCCAGACACAACGGGTTGGGCAGCACGCGCATCTCCATGACGACGTCGCAGAGGGCGTGGCGTAGAGCCGCCCTGAGCCGGTCGGTCAGCTGCAGCGGGCTGATGTTACCCTGCTCCCACACGTCGAAGCGCACTCGCACGGCTGCACCTGTGCACAGGCGTCCCAGAGCTCACACACACCTCACACACCGCTACTGTAAGCACTATATGTTTGCTAAAGCATCCCAACCTGAGCTCTGGCTGCCAGAGTCCACTTTGACGACAGTCGTCAAGGCCTCGAACTGGTCCGGCTGGAGGGAGATGCTGGAGACGCCGCATCTGAGAGCCGGGACACTGCCGTCCTGAGTGGGAACCTGCAGTGCACAGCCTTTAGCGTCCACGAATGACAGCACGATGCAGGCGATCCCTGGGGAGAGCAGCACGTTAACACAGTTAGAGGAGAAAGTGATGGAGGCCAGAACTAAACGAGCTTGACAGAACAGCATGAATGATGCAAACTCGCATGAAAGCAATAAGTTCGGCTAGAGCTGAAAGACAAGGTGCATGCTCATATGTCTCTTCAAACAAAGCCACTTTTATGCTCAAGGGGTTGATTTTATTAAAAGTAAACAATTTGTTTTGTTGTTATTAAATCTGTTTTGAAACTTATTTTCATTTATTGTGCTTCTTTTTCAAATACCTTTTATATACAAATCTGATTACCCTCGACACAGTCTTTCAAACTTAAAATATGAAAATCAAAGATATTACATTTTATTTCATTTAAAGCAACAGATTTTTTTTCACATAAAGGTCAAATTAAATGTCTTTTATGTTTTAAACATCTTTATAAATTATTTTGCATCTTTTTAAATGCATTTTATGTACAGAACAAATTACCTTTGACACAGAATCAACCTTTCAATCCTAAAATATGAAAATACATTGTTTGAAAAAAAAATTTTTTTTTTGAAGCTATGTTGTTAACAAAAACAATCCATTTCAATATATTTTGTTTGAAAATGTATTTCATTGTTACTATGATGTCTATGCTGTCTTTCACAAAATAAACTTTCCCCAATAATGTTTTTTCCCCCCAAAAGTTGTTGTTCACAAAAATATGACATGCGTGAGAAGAATTAAAAAAAAAAATAAGTCAAATTAAATATTTGTGAAGAGCATATTTTGGTTGGGTGTCATTTCCAATCAAGCTGTAGTTTATGCAAAAAGTGTAAAAATATCACTTAATTGTGTTTATTTAGGATACATAAAATGCTAGCTATCCAAATACTGACTGATTTGATTCCAGAAGTGGTTACACTTATTTTCATTGAGAGCTGGAGATTTTTACAGAAGTCACTGGCAATGTAACAAAGCACCATTGTTATTAACTAAAATGTATATATATACAGTGGGTTATATATATATATATATATATATATATATATATATACGTATATAACAAATAATTTAAAAAGAAAAAAATATATATATATAAGATGAAAACTTAAACAAACAAACAAAACGTTGCCTTGGCAATTAACTAAAATAAATACATTTAAATTTAATCATTAAAATTACTACAAATAAAACTGAAATAAAAAAAAAGCTAAATAGAAATATTTTTAAAAGGATAAAAGCATATAAAATTAAACCTAAAGCTAATATTAAAATGAAATTTTTATCTCACTGTCAAAGTAAACATAAAAAGTGTATAAAGTGTGTTTTATGAGAGTTTATTTTCTAAAAGTTCACAAGGCTGAACATTTCCATACTTGAAGAAACACCCATATGTAGCCTTAAATTATATAAGCACAACAATATTTCAGAAAACAATGCCTCTACTTGAGTACGCACTCTCATAAATCCTTTAAATGGGTTTTTATGCTGTTGTATTGACTCGGTTATGCTGTTTACAGCATGAAGCCAGGAGGCCTTGGGAAGCTGCGGCTCTGATAAGCACAGAAAGAGAGAGATTTCCATCCTTAGATTCTCAGAGATCGATGGCGCCTTCGCTCCAGTGGTTGCGGCTATAAAAAAGCCTCGCAAACAGAGCAGCGGTCGCATTAAAAGGCATTAGCAGCAAACAGTGGAGCGCGAGCGGGGATTTATCCAGCTGCTTGTATTAGCATATGCTGTTAGCAGTTTGAGGCGTGATCGATGTGTAAGTGTAAGCGTGTGTGTGTGTGTTTGTGTGTATGCCAGATTTCAGATACTAATGCACCGCACACAATCACCTGAAATAAATGTGCACCTGTGCTCTCACTTGCTAAAGTGTGCATGCATTTTGCATTATTGCAGCCTGGATGCATATATGAAAGTGTGCATTCGGTCTGAAACATACGCTACATTAAGTACATGAGTGTAACGCTTCCATCTAAGCAAGCTCAATTTCGTGCATCATGGCATTTCTGAAATGCGTCTGACTGCGATTCATAATGCAACACAAGTGTGTGTTGCTTTCAGAACGGTGCCAATCAATGAGCGGCTTCTCAGCATCATGTCTTTGGCCTCTCATCTAAGAACTCCATTTGCTGTGATCTTTTAAGAGCACTTGATGAGGTGTGATGTGGCGTGGCGTGACCCCTGCACTCCAGAGAGACTGCATGAGGACAGAGAGAAGGGCCCTTCAGTCTTTGCTGGACTCTGGGGCTTCAGCCAGACAGACAGAGTGATCATGGAAGTCACTTTCTGATTTATAATGATGGGGGTCAGCGGCAGCGTGTGAATGAGATGATTTTAGACTCTGAAGTGCCTGAACACACAGACATATCCCATATACACCATACAAAATTGACTGAGTTGCAATGAGAAATGATCAAAAATGAGAATACACTTAAGACAATGCATGCAAATTTACAGTAAATCACTGTTTTGTGTGTGTGTGTGCGCCTTAAATTTATGATGAAAGTAAAAGGCTCTGAATTACTAAATACAGCAAATAACTGAAATGCATTAATAATGCAAATATTTCCACATAGTGAGGTAGATATGTGGGGGCGTGTTAGAACGAGCCGTTTTAGGGGGGCGTGGCAGAGTCTTAACTTTGATAAAGAATATCTCTTTGGTTTTGAGACTTTAGTCTTTGCAACTTCAGGGATCTTATCTATGCACAATCAGCTTGTAACACTCCAAAGAGAAAGGAAAACTTCAAAACGCATCATATGACCCCTTTAATTTCTACAAGCTACCGATTTGTTTTGATGTTAAAAGTTATATACCTCAACATTAGCAATTAGATTATGTACTTGCATGAATAAGAATTTATACCAGATTAATAAATGGCGTAAAAAAAAAAAGAATCGGTAACACTTCAGTAAAATAAGGTCTCATTAGTTGATGTTAGTTAATGCATTAACAAAACTTAAACAATGAGCAATACATTTGTTACAGTATTTATTAATCTGTGTTAACATTAGCTGAAAATACAACTATTCTTTGTTAGTTTATGTTAGCTCGGGTCACAAATGAGATCAACAGATACTAATTTTGATTTTAATAATGTATTAGTAAATGTTGAAATTATTAAAAGCTTTAGAAATATTTTCATTGTTAGTTAATGTTAACCAATGTAGTTAACTAATGTTGATTAAACAACTTGGAGCTTTATTGAAGTGTTACCATTTGCATAAAATAATGTACATGTTGCATGGTGTTACACTATTACTATGCAAAGATATACTTTTCATACAGTAAATATTTCAGATTAACTCTTAATTGATTCTTTCCAAATAAACATGAATAAATGAGACACGCTTTAACAAAACACATGATTTCAATGACCAAATAACGCAATGCATAATAAATATTAATCAATATAAGTACACGCCGGAAATTGTATCATTTGAAAGGCAGGAAGACCACAGTCACTTAGGACAATTCTGTATTATTAGATGTGTTTAATAACGTAAAACACACAATGAAAGCAGAAGACGCGTGTAACACACACGCAGCACATCTCATGCAGGAGTGAGCAGGATCTGCTTCAGGAAAAGCTCATCTCTACAACAAAACTGCCAAAGAAATGAAATCACTGAAGCTAGTAGCTCACTAACATTCCCCCCCACAGATTTCAACCCCTAAATACATTCACATCAGTATTCAAAAAGTTGCGGGAACAACGAACAGTGACCAATGAGCTCCAATTCACACAGAGGAACTTACAGGCCCTAGTGTCTGCAACTTCAATGTGGATTGGTACTTCATAAACTTAAAGGTACATACTGCAAATTATACCGCAAGGTGTTAATTGTGGTCTATGGTGATCATTTGCACAATGCACCTTTTCTCAGTAAGTATCACACTGACTGACTGCAAAAATGAGTGTCAGAAGCTTTCAACATTAAGTTGGTATTTGGGCAGCTAGCATAAAGGAACAGTTCACCCAATTAAAAAGAAAAAAATGCATTTAAAATTAAAGTCATTTTCTCTCAAAACAACCTGTAATGGAAAAAAAAAACAATACAGTTTAACATTTTCGATCTGCAAATATTACATTTCCATCAGTTCCTCGCACAAAGCTATCAAATGACTTCAAAAGACTTGGATTAGAGTGCACAGGTCAACTTGCTTCCTGTGATGCTTTTTATCATTTTTGGAGCACTTTCAATTTCATTATTCAAAAAGCGCACATCAGAGATCATGTTAAACTGCACTTTTTGTGTTCCACGGAAGAACGAAGGTGAGTTAGGGTGAGTAAATAATGACAGAACTTTCCTTTTTGGGTGAACTGTCCCTTTAAGCTGTGATCATGTGACCATGCAGTACCACACTCAGGACACAGCACAACAGTGAAGCGGGTGGAGGCTCTTATACCTTGAAACTGAGAGGTTGGGAAGAGATTCTGAACAAGGTCCGACATTGTACCTGAGGCACAACAGACACCCACAGACAGAAATGATGAATGACAGACACCAACTCAATGATCAACCAATGAGCAGTGCTGGGGAGTTGAACTGCACTAAAAAAAATCAGTGACACTACGGTTTATCACTACGTTTTCAAACCTGCTATATAATATATACACCATGTTCTGCATTAAAAACCTCTGGTTTGAAAATCTAAATGCGTCGGATTCAGATTTAAGACTAGTTTTAAAATTAAATGTCATCAAAAAAGTCCTACTCATATTTCACTTTAAGTCCCAACAGCATGCCAATTTATGAATTACGGTGGAAGCTAATAATTATTAGTCATAATTAAGATTAATTTTAATGGTCCAAATTCAGTTTGCTGGAATAATGATAAAGTTTGCAAGGTTTACAAGGAGACTTTGTACAACTAAAATAACATTTCCCATTATTCTGTGCGATGCCACAAAATGATAAAATACACAAATATGTAATCAATTACACCTCTAATGCACATCCTCATTATGCTGAATTAGTGCTTAAAAGCTCTTTATCATGAAGTCAAAAAGAGGAAAAGAAACATAAAATTGCCCAGCATATCCATGTTTTTGTTAGTAGTACATTAGTATTCAAGTTCAATACAGTCAACGCAAATGTTCTTTGTAACAGATGAATACTGCTTTAAATAAATTAACAAAAAAAAGAAACATTCACAGTCATCTAACTATTTGAAATTCTGAGTTACAAAGTATCTTTCCCCAACACTGCTGAGAGAGATGAAGACGGAGGGAAAATTTAAATGCAAATTTAAATGAAGGTCTGAAAATGAAACTGTCAGTGTGGTTACTGTTAACTAAACCTAAAACTTTAGGTTTAGTTAACTAAAATTACAACAAAAACTGGAAAACATTTTTTATATATATATATATAT